ACTTTTATAGCAAAACAGATCCTGGCAATTATGTCATGTCGAATTATAAATTCCTAGAGTACCCAGTATAAAAATCAGGAAATTTTCTATATGTTAGAGCAGAACCACTTTAGTAATAAGATTGTAAGATTATAGTATGGGACCAACAGTTAGCGTAATGGCTATGTCATTGGACTCCCACGTAGTCGACCACGGTTCAAGTCCCGGACCTGGTTGCTTAAACTCACGCCGGGCACGTGTGTGTGTATGCCCAAGATCCCGAGAGGAGAATGGAGGAGAAGGGATTGCGGCGTGACCATCCCCCCTGGGGGGGGTGATTTCTCGCTTTCTGTCTGTCTGGCAAGCGCACCCGCCCTATAGCAAAAACCTCTTAAAAAAAAAAAGATTGTAAGATTATAGGCATCTTGAGGGTAAGGACTATATGTAGATTGCTTTGTACAGCTCAGTATTATAGTCATGAGAGGTTTTTTTATTTATTTATTTTTTTTAATGAAGAAGATACAATTCTTAGGGACATAGTATTTTCTTTATCCTGTAATAATAATAGTAGTACTTGTTTTAAAGGTAGTGATCAGAATTTTGAAAGTATTTTCATTTAAACTCTATTTGTCTCAACCAGTTTGTTCACACCTGAGGCAATTGTGTTAAATATGTTTTTGTACAGGGGGAGGGGAACAACTTTATTAGGTGAAGTGCAGAGCATGTTGTTCACAGCTTTTTCACCTAGGGATTAGAAATCTTTCCCTCCCCCCTTCCCCCACTCTTCTGTACCTATGAATCTACAAAGCCTTCCCTTAGCCTTAGTCTACATGCTGCCTTTAGCTGAAAACCAAGAAGCGCAGAGAATTGCTATGTGTTGATCCTTCAGTTAATTGTGCTGTTCCAACAAATGGTATATTAACACTGTTGTAAGAAGTGTGGCTAGTTGGTGCATTAGAGTTACTTTATAGCCAAAGTATATCAGCTTCGCTGAGAAACTAAAGTCCATTGGAAGCTTGCCTGAGTACTAAGTTTTAGCTGTTTACTATAGTTTTAATATTTGCAAACATGTTTTGACTGTATGCAATAGAATAAAAGAATATGTGACATGTTTTTGCAGAACTTCACAACCCAGGTTTATTTGACATATAACTTTAATTTTAAACTCGTAAGTTTTTTGTATTCATAATAATTGATGTACTTGTTTCTAGGGTCCACCTACAGATGCTCCTGCAGTGGACACAGCAGAACAAGTCTATATCTCCTCTCTGGCACTGTTAAAAGTAAGTAGTAAATGGAGTTACTTCCTTTAGAGAGCTCTTTTGCTTTCCCTGTGTCTTTTAATTTAGAATATTTGTCATCTAATATTCTCAAACATAAGCTATTCTTATAGATGAATCTACAAATTAGAGTGTTTCGTTTCTATTGAAAGAGGGAGGAAGCACAGATCTCAAAGAAATAGGCTTTGTGTTCACATATCTTCCTCTTTACAGATGTTAAAACATGGCCGTGCTGGAGTTCCAATGGAAGTCATGGGTCTGATGCTTGGAGAATTTGTTGATGACTACACCGTCAGGGTGATTGATGTGTTTGCCATGCCACAGTCAGGAACAGTGAGTACTTTTATGGTTGCTTGCTGCAAGTAAACATATTTCTCTTCTTTTCTTTTCCTATACAAAATAAGTTTGATCATATTTTGCCTTTCCTATAGGAAAAATAAATCATAAAAATAATGACAGAAATTTCTATATTGTATTAAATTAAGTCATTTAAGTCTTTTAAATGTATTATGACTTATTATAAATCCTAACACTAAATCCCTTAACCCATTCCTTCAGTTTTAACTAGTGTACCATACTGGATTAAGTTAGCAATCCTATAAAAGCAGGGTATTACTTTAAGTAGTTTGAATACTTGGTTCAAAGATTCCAGAGATTCTGTGTTAAATTTTTAATTAAAGTACATTTACCAATTCTCATGTCTTGTTCCTATTGAGGTTTTTTGTTGTTGTTGTTTTTTAAATGGTCAGTATGTGGTAATGAATGACGTTTAAACTTTTTTTTTTTAATTAAAAATACTAAGTTGTAAAAAATCTTAAAAGCCTCTAGTGAACCTTAATTATTTTTGCCCTGACAATGGCACATTCCTTTGTATGAATCATACTTCATACAGATATTCAAAGTTCATCTTTCATACCTGCTTGGAATATATTTCTCTTTCTAAAGGTTTTTTTGTTCAGTTTTGCTTTGCCTGTTTGTTCAGTGCATTGAACTCGTGTAGAAAAGTACATATTTAGGGACCAGCAGTTAGTGTAATGGCTAAGTCGCTGGACTCCCATGTAGTCAACCATGGTGGGAGTCCCAGACCCGGTGGCTTAAACTCACGCCGGGTGTGTGTGCGTGTGTGCCCAAGATCCCGAGAGGAGAATGGAGGAGAAGGGATTGCGGTGTGGTCATCCCCCTTTGGGGGTAATTTCTTGCTTTCTGTCTCTCTGTCTGTCTCTCTGGCGAGCGCACGCGCCCTGTAGCAAAAAAAACTCTCAAAAAAAAATAAATAAATAGAAAGAAAGGTACATATTTAGATTTCAAGAAATTTGCCAGAAAACAATAACCACTATGCCTTAAAAAAGTAATACACATATATCTTTTTACCTGTTTGCCTAGAAAAATATGTGTATTTTCTGATGGATATTTTTTCTCTGATACATTTTTCTTATTTGACTTAAATTGTTATAAAGCCTTTAGTGCTATTTGAGTCTCTTTAAATTTACTTTGATAAGATAGATACTAGAGAACAAATTGTATTTTTAAGTAATTAGAATGCACTGTATTTGTAAATGATGTAAAATGTAGGAAAATAGACAAGTTTTTCTGTAAATAGATAAGTTAGTTGAAGTGAACAAATTTGGATCTACTGATTTTGTCCACCTGGATATCCATTTAATTTATTTTGTACATAAACATGCTACTAAAGATTCAGATTTATATATTAGACTGTTATTACTTATAACAGTCTTCTCATGTTCTTATGACTCAGAGATGCAGGGTGCAGGAGTGGTCAAGCCCAGAATCCATAGCAGAACATGGGTTCTTGTCAGCAGCTCACTAAGAGTTAAGAGACACAGGCCTAGGTAGGCAAGTTGAGAGTTTATTAGAGGGAAGGAAAGAAAATATTTCACATGAAAGAAAGGGGAACTCTCCAATGAGTAGCTCCCCCAACTGCCTCCCCAGTCTCTACCTCATTAATATATAAATTAATAATTAACTTATTTCTGCTACATTAAATCATTTTGTGTAGATAGTCATTGTAACAAGTGGTTCTTAGTCTTTGGTATCATAAATTCCATGTAAATGTTTGCTTAACTATATAGAAAGAGGATTTTGGTCCACATAGTCACACTGTGGAGTAGAATTAGAAAGTTTTTTTTCTGGCCCACGAACCAGCAAACTTTTTCTATAAAGACATATGTCTCTATTGCATATTCTCCTTTTTTTTTTTTTTAACAACCCTTTTAAAATGTAGAAAACCATTCTTAGCCTGTAGGCAGCAGATTGCATACCCCTGTTCTTTAGGATGCACTCTGTATTGGAATTTAGAATACTGTTTGCTTTGGTGGGAAGGAAGTGCTTATGTTAACGGGTTTGTTTAAATAGATTAGATTTAGATTCCTGATACTAAAAGAAAGCTTTGAGGAGCTATGATGGCATGATATATCATCGAAGTAATGATGCGAACACTTCTCTGTTCTAAAACCTTATTTTGATTGGACTAGCAAAATAATGCCACTTTTTAGACACTTGGTTACTGACTATCCAGTGGAGAGTTTTTGTGATTGCTTTTATATTTGAGGCAATAAATGACTGTCCCTTCTTCAAAATGTTTACATTATGAAAAAAAAAAAAGACTGCGGTTGTTTGATTATAATAGCTGAATAGATCATTGTAAAACTTTGGTTAGTGGGAAGAGACTTAGTCCTCATCAGTTATTAAAGGATGCCATTAAGAAGTGTACTTGCCTAGATAGGTTTAGCCCAAAATTATAGTTGGTTTAATAATTTGGTATCTCTGGTAAATATATACATAGCAATGATCATAACCTCTTAGAGGATTCTCAAAGTTGTCTTAATGCGTTAGCTAACAGCAGTTTGATACTGGTCAATTTTAGAAGGTTTATTGGTATGAGGTTTATTTATAATTGAATGATGAGAGAGAGTATAAAATAATTTTGGTACCCCAAAATAATATGGATAGGTTTGGGAAGTAGCTTCTTTTTTATTTGCATTATAATATAAAGTTGCCTTATTTTGGTTTGTTATAGGGTATAAGTACTTGCAGAAGAGACAGATAAAGACCGAGATAGGGAAAGTGAGAAATCACCCCCCAGGGGGAATGGCCACACCACAATCCCTTCTTCATTCTCCTCTTGGCATTTTGATCACACATGCACATGCACCAGCATGTTTTTCTAGCCACTGGATCTGGGACTTGAACTGCACTATCCACCATGTGGGATCCAGCTGCCCTAACCACCATACCACCTGGCTGGCCATAAAGTTGCCTTTTTTCAAAGTTATGAAAGCTAATTTTTTTTTTCTTTTCTTTCTAAACTAGGGTGTCAGTGTAGAGGCAGTTGATCCAGTGTTCCAAGCCAAAATGTTGGATATGTTGAAGCAGACAGGAAGGTAAGTATTTTAAGTGATCATTTAAAGAAATAGTGAGAAATATTTTTAGAAATATACTTCAATTTTTGAATATTTACTAATACTATTTCTAGGGGAAGAAACCCTGTAGTTGATGTAAAAGTATCTATCAGTATGAATACTATGAACTCCCTGTCTAATGTCTCTTCCCTCCAGAATCAGAGAAATTTGCCAATCAGTTGAACTGCCTCATATTAAAATTCTTGACTGTCACATAGTAAGCTTGGGCTGTAGCTTCCCTCTGTTTAGCATATGGAGTTACTGTCTAGTCACTTATAATTGAAAGAGCTTGTATGTTCCATGTAGTTGAGAGTTACAACTGAATGAGATTCTGAATATTTAATTATGTTTGTAGGCATATGAGTTTTAAAGACAGAAAAAGTAGAATCCAAATATTCTCAAGTTTTTTCACTCAGACTAAATCTCAATAGTTGTCATTCTCTTGCTCAAATTCTTCTACTGTGGAAAAAACTTCAAAATTAATGTTAGCAAAAGGCTCAGCAGCTGAGCAGAACAGTGTAAATTGGTTTTTGACTGAGTTCCTAGTTCTACTGCTGGTTTAATTGATATTTAATCTTTTCACAACAGTGGATCCTGGTGTCCATTGTTAAAAATGTACTCTGTCTAGAAAATCCAACTCCCAGAGCTAAGGAGTTAAAGAGTAGATATTTACTTGAATGCTGAAAGGGTAAAAACTGGCTCTGAGAAAGTGTGGTAACAAGGTGAAAAACTGAAAGCCTTATCTACCACTGCTAATGTGCATCTCTTAATGATAGCACTCCTTTGTCACACTTACTCATTTCCATGTTTTCTAGATAATATAGTGTATGATTTCAGTGTTTTTAATGGTGCTTTTTCACACCTGTGTGTTTTTCATCTCTTCTTAATTTATACCCTGTTAGTGTGTTGTTTCTTTTCATATCATAAATGTATTACTTGTTCAGTTTTGAGCATCTGAATGCCCTCTTTGTTTCAGGCCTGAGATGGTTGTTGGTTGGTATCACAGTCACCCTGGCTTTGGTTGTTGGCTTTCTGGTGTGGATATCAACACTCAGCAGAGCTTTGAAGCCTTGTCGGAGAGAGCTGTGGCAGTGGTTGTGGATCCTATTCAGAGTGTAAAAGGAAAGGTAGAGTAGATTCTATCTATTGCCATCTATTGCCACATTCTGCGATAAATAAAAATCTATTTTGTGCAAAGCAGGATTTTTAATTATAAAGAAAACCACTATCCATTTCTGTAAAATGCAAACAACAAACCACGTAAGTCAATAAATATGTCTTGATATTATTAGTAATTTAACTATTTAGAGATTTGTTTCTACTTTAATCACCTATTGTCTAATTATCCTGAATATATTATTTTATTTTCATAAAATTTAGAAATATTTAACGATACTAAAAGCTTGTTTTCTTATCAATATTTTAATATAAACATGGGTTTACCCTCCTTTATTTTTAAATGATGACTGAATCAGCACATTTGAAGAATCTACTTAACAGGTTCTGTTTTACAGATATTATGCAGGACAAATTCTGGAGTTCTATGTTCCCAATATTTTAGACAATAAAAACTTGCCCCCAAAATCTTGGTATTAACAATTCGTATTTTTGGAGTGCAAACACAAATGATGATTAAATATGCTAAATGATTCTGAAAAGAGATTAACTTGCAAAGCATATTGGGTTATAGTTGTTCTTTGTTAAAATCTCTTTTGTTCTTGTTTAGTTCTTTTTTTGTTCTTTCTTTTCTTCCCCCCCCCCTTTTTTTTTTATTTCTTTCTTTCTAGCCCCATATGCCATTTTCCTATTTCCTGCCTCATGACAGCAGGGAGCAGCTCTATTATCACCTTCACAGAGCTGTCTGCAAATGTGAGAGGCAATTCGATTTTGCTCAACCACAGGGAGAGTGGATTAGAAAAACTACAGAACATACAGAAATTGGCTAGGTGGTTACTGCTTTAAAATACTGCTGAGGTGTCTTGTTTGAGCATGTACTTCCATTGTAGTGTAGAATAATTGTTAAAATCACAATACATTTATGGAATCCTTTTTATGCAGGTTTTACAAATAATTTTTAGAGCACTTAGAAATAAATATTAGCTTGTTATCTATCAGACCTGGAGTTCGATAGTAGTACGGATTAAATTTACATCTGCTTACCAGCTCAAACAAACTTAACATGACTGTTAAAACATGGAGTTTTTAATCTGTCACAAATTTGAAGTTGAACATTTTCTGACATATTATTAAGATATATAGAAATAGAGGTCTCTTCTAAATCACGATCCTATATTTGATATGATTTCATTTTATAGAGTCATAAACTATCCACTGAAATGGTGATAATAGAAACTGATCTGCTAGACAGTTTAGAATGAGTAACTTCTGATATTTGCTATTTGCCTATATTTCCATTTATTTAGTTTCCATTTTTCAGTAAGTGTATTGTTACTTAACTGGTAGAGATAAAAGGAAGTTCAAAATTCTTGACGTTTAATTAGTTTTATGAATTAAAGTACAGTATAGCTCTTAAGTTTTAATTCTCTGATATTTAAAGTACCTTTTTAGTAACTCAAATATAATTTATTTAAGTGATAATTTTTAAAAATACAAGTATCTGATTAAGCCATCCCACCACAGTATTTACAAATAATAATCAAAGCTAAGTGTTATATTTTGTAGTATTAGTTAGACTGACATTTTTTAATACCTTAATGCATGAAGTAGTGGCTACTTTGAAGAAGATATAAACTTAAATATGATGAAAAAAAGCATTATCAAAACATAACATAAACAAATGTGTATTTTATTTTTGATAATCCTGTGTATAGTTCTTTGAATAGCAGTTTTACTTTCTAAAGTATTGTATAATATTAGAATTTGCATTGTTTATTCCTAATTGTGATCTATATTAAAAGAATAGCTTTTATTCAAAAATACACTTATATCATATGGCTGTTGACAGTATTAAATATAGATTTTTACAATATGCCTGAAATTACTTTATGAAATGATATATGTCACTGTCAATATTTTTGAATAAGTTTAGTATAAATGTCATTGATGATTCATAATACTTAGACCTAAAATGTAGATTCATACAGTTATATCACCTGAAGTATGAATCTAGTTCTTAGCAATAATGCAACTTTATCTGTAAGGTATCTGAGTTTGGTTATAATTTATGGTTCAGACAGGGTCAAGACCACTCAGTGCTATAAACTAATTAACTGCTAGTAAATCCATGGCCAGAGTGTTGAAGATAAATCATTAAAATTGAAAGCTTAAACTTATAAAAATGAAAAATAGCATAAGACTCCTTCTCTCCCTTCCCTGCACGTGATTTATCAAATCTGTCACAATATTTGCAAGACAGTGATTAGATCAGGAGTTAAAATATCAATCTATAGAAATCTCTGTTTACTTTTAAAATCTTTTTCCTGTGTATTATTAAAGAGATTATTATTAAGGAGATTACTTTACCAAAATCAGACCATGAATAAGTAGTATAACAAGGATCTAATCCAGGTCTATAAAATTCAGAACTCATGCTTTTTTACTGACCCTTTAATATTAGGCTATTGTGAATGATAGAAGAGAGTAATTCAGGAATATAAAATGAATACCAGAGGTCATTGCAGGACCTTTTCTTAAGTTGCTGTGGGTAGGTGTCACTCCTGTCAGTGTAAGTTGGGAAGAAGCTGCCTATATTCTCTAAATTCTCTGTGTTGTTTATGGTACATATTATGAGGTACTTATTATTTTTTTCTGTGGTATTAATTCTATTAATTTTCAAAAACAATTTGGCAGACTTATCCCTGTCAGCTTTTGTGGCATTCCTAGGTCAAATATTAAGACCAATATAAATCATAAAATATATGATAAAGAATCCATGTCATTCTTTATATCAGATTGTAATATAAATGTTTTAAGTATATCAGTATCAACGGTAATCACATTAATAATTTTTAAAGGATTATTTAACTTTATTTATGTATGTATATATGTGTGTATGTATGTATTTATTTAAATTTGACCAGAGAGAGAGGAAAAGTGAGAAAGCAAGCTGTCAGGTCTGGGCATCAAACCGCTGTCAACCATGTGAGAGTCCAGTACCCTTAACCACCGTACCACCTGCTGGTCCATCACATTCATAATTTAAAGAGAGAATAAGTTTATAGAAATTATCAGTGAGCTCTGCTCATAGCATACTGCCAATTATATACTGATATACTACATTGCATGCTGATAAGATTCTGCTTCAGCTTTTCATTTAGTTATAAAATATACATACTCAAATATTTTAAACTTTTGTTATCAGATGACATAATGATAACCTCTTGCCTAATGTTTTATTATGTTGCATATTCAGCCCACAACTATACTTAATCCAGCAACAAATTTAGAACTTAATTCAACGTGCTATATGACTGTACTTCTTCCTTATGGCAAAAAGAGATCACTTTGGGCAAAAATCATAAAGCTAGTGTATAACTTGGTATTTATAAAAATTTTTTTTTACTGCTTTAGAGAACTTATTTTCCTTGACAGAAATTTTGGTAGTAAATGTTCAGATATTAACTACTGACCATTAACAATTATTGTGTCTAGTCTCTGTTTTACAAATGTAATGAAAAGAAAAAAAAAAAAAACTATTAACTAATCTAAATATATCTTCACACAGGCTAGGTTTCTTAAAACATTTTAATTTATTTAATCTGATTATAAATACTCAATAGACTTGTAGAAAATGTCATTTTTAGTTAATTGCACATTAGCTCATCAGCAGGTATTTCTTAAATATACCTGATGTGGCTGTATACTAATGATTGAGGGATACAAAATTTAAAATGGTCTTTGAGGAAATAGATCATACATATGTAATGTCACTAGCGAGCAGCATAACATACTGCCAATTATATACTGATATACTACATTGCTTGCTGATAAAATATACAGTATACTGATACTGCTTGTTTCTGTATTGGTTGCTAGAGACAGAATTATTCAGCACTTATTCAGAATCTTGTATGTGCCAATGTACAATAAAATATTACCTGTATAGTATTACAAATATAGTAAATGCATATTAAATTAGAAAAAGGGAAAAATTAGTATAAGCTGCACAAAGTAGAGGAACCCTGGGCTGAGCTTTGATGGATAGTCAGGCCATAACTCAGTAAAGAAAATCTTATACCATATGGAAAGAATACAAGAACGCTACCATTCCAGGTAAAACTTTCATTTTTGTATATTCTTTTTCTACATGTACTGGAATGTAAAATGATGGAGCTCTGAAGAGTAAATAAAAAATAGGGACAAAAATTAGAGAATGAAGTTTTTTTAAGAATTATTTTATTTAACTGTATTCATTCATCCCATCTATCCATCCATCCGTCTGTCTGTCTGTCTGTCTATTTATTTATTTTAATTTGACCAGAGAGGGACAGAGTGAAATGGGAGAGTGTAGAGAAAGCAAGCCACCAGGTCTGGAACTCAAACCGCAATTGGCCATGTGGGAGTTCAGCGCCTTTTACCACCGTGCCACCTGCCAATCCCAGGAATAAATTTTTGGCTTGTTTTGTTTTCTTTTGCTGTAGGATGAGTGTACTGTGTGTGCTGGACAGAGACAGAGAGATAGAAGGAAAGTATGAAATCACCCACTAGGGTGGATGGCCATGCCACAGTCCCTTCTTCATTCATTTCTCAGGATTTTGGGCATGCATATGCACCTGGTGTGTTTTTTCAAGTCACCAGTATAAGACTTGAACCTCATAGTTAGTCATCTAGTCATCTAGGATCCAGAGCATTAAGCACCATGTTACCTGCTGGCTCCAGGGAATGAATGTTTTAAGATCATATATCTTTTTAATAGTAGGGTGAGGGGAACAAATGTTTTACTTTGCCAAGAAATTTTAAAATAAAAAGTTTTAAGATGGTGGAAGTTTTCATCATTCAAATCATTTTTTTGGTGGGGAGATCAGTTTAAGTTTTATTTTATTAAGTATTGTAATTGTAGGGCATAGAGAATGAAGACTACAGGCTTTGGATCAGTCCTGAATTAAAATACATTTTTATTCGGCCAGTAGGTCTAGTAAAACCTTAACCAATGGTGATTAAGGCACTG